CAGAATCAACGGTCAATTTAAACCTCATTTTGAAAGAGCACAATTTTTGATTATTAAGGTTAATTCTACAAATGTGTCAGTGCAAGGTGTATTCTTACAAACTACCCCTCCGAGATTTTGGAGAGAGGATTTCAGAACACCTTGTGCAAAAGATCAGCTTTTCTAGCAGTACAAGGTTCTACCATTGCTGGTATTTGAACACTCTGCATAACTTCATTTGGAAAGTGACCTTGTGTGGCATTAGACCTTTATTATGACACTACTATGTCTTATTCCCTGTAGACCCATTGGCTATAGTGATACAACTTCATGTATGGATGAAAGAGACCAGACTATTTTCTCTTCCAGCCTGAGTTTGGTTACATTGCTTTGAATGGTAGAAAAGCAAGATGGCTGCCCAGTGATAAAGGTCTTGCCATCTTCTAGCCCACACTTACGTACATTTTTCTGATGTATTAGTGCAGGCCACAGAGATATACCCATTCAGTTGAAAATTGGCTGTTCTCACTCCACACAGCCAGCTTGTTAACCAGCGCATACTAGTTAATATCCTTCGTTTTCCCTTGTGACCTTCCGCACAGCACCCCTAACAATTCCTACTTTCAGTCCACCCAATGGTAGTTCTTGCCAAAACTGTGCATTCACCTGACTGGCATTGATTGGAAATTGAGCGTCACTGCCGTCGTGCACGTACTCTTCATTCCCATTGTACCCATTCAGTTGAGAATTAGCTCACCCTACACTTTATGCTCGTTTATTTAAACCAGTGTTTGCTTGTCAATATCCTCCCCGTGCTCCTGTGAGTTGCCGCCCTGTCACAGCAGCCTTTGACAATTCCTACTCTCAATCCACACATTGGCAGTTCTTGCCCAAACCGTTTGACTAGTCCATGTGCAAGTCTCACCTGCAGTTTTTGTTCCCTGCCAGGATTCGGACATGGAGGAGAGTGACGAGGAGGAAGAGGGCCGTCGAGTTCCGATGTCACCCCCGCCCCTCCCTGGTGCTGTGGGCTCCGACGCCTCGGCCTTACCCGCACCCCTGCCGCCGCTCGGCGAGGTGCAGATCAGGAAGAACTATGATCCTAAAGGTCCGTTTAAGTGGCCGTTCCCTCTGTTTGTTGGTTGGGCTGTCTGTCTGTACACGTATGTTGCCATCTTTGACCCTTGTTTGTCGGCCCATCCTTGGTCACTGTTTGCCGACATAGCAGTGTTTCTCCACCCACTAGTGCAGAATAATTAATTTTTCTTTTAGATCCTGAGCAAACTTTCTTCATTGAAAAATTTGTGACAAATTTTCACTTTCAAGCTTAGAAAATGATGTTCTCTCTTACAATATCTTCTTATTTTCTCCCTTCCTGGCCTGCAGCTCCGAAGCCCATCTCAGAGCTCGAGGAGAATTACCTGATCTCCCCAATCACCGGGGAGAAGATTGCTGCCAGCAAGATGCAGGAACACATGCGTATTGGTGAGTACATCTTACGGCAGAGACTTCTGAATAGCCCCCTATTTTGTATGATTTAAAACCAAAGTTAGATCACATGATAGGCTCAGAATCCTTTCGCCATAGGGGCTGAAAAATTGCATTCAGTCCAACGGGTGTGTCCTCACTGGTGATCTCAATTAAGAACAGACTCTGTCTGAAGTGGCTGCAGCTACTGCCATTGACTCACATGCCGTTTCCAGCCACAGCCGTTGAATTCAGAGTACGGCTTTGCCTGCAAACAAAGGGGTTATGTTTCTGCTGCCAGTGTGGGGGATCCATTTTGCTCACCACGGTTTTGAAGCATCAGCATCCAGCAATCTCCAAGACGGCTGCCTTATAACCCTCACAGGGCAGTCTGAATGGGAACATCTATAAGTGATCATTAGACACCAGCAGGTCTATGAAAATGGAGTGTCGTTAAATTTGCTAAGGGTGCATGGGACTCGCCAACCAGATCGCAGCGAACGTTGATATGGGGTGGTTGTTCAGTATTGCTCGCTCGCAAGTTGAACCAAATGCAAGTCCCACTTCAGATGTCGGGCTGAATTTTGTGTGATGCATGCAGAGTTTTAAGCTCCACCCTTTTCTGCTTTGTGTTCACTTAGGCTTGCTGGATCCCCGCTGGATCGAGCAGCGGGATCGCCAGAAGGAGAAGTCTGCCCAAGAGGAGGTGTACGCGCCAGGCCCGGCCATCGAGGAGAGCCTGAAGCTCCTGGCTGAGAGGCGTACCGACATCTTTGGAGAGGGCGATGTGGAGACACAGATCGGCAAAAAGGTTTGTGGGCTCTGTGGCGTCATTTAATTTGCCATTCCGCTTGACGTGCCATTTGCTTCGACCATGTTTGTCTTGTTCCCTGTGGGCCTATTGGCAATAGTAAAACAACTTCACACACCAATAAAAGGGAACAGACTATTTCTTCTTCCAGCCTCGGTTTGGTTACATTGGTTTGAATGGTAGAAAAGCAAGATGGCTGCCCCACAGTGGAGGTCTATAGCTCCTCAGCAAAGACTACAGTTAGTACGAAGTAGAGGCTGGCATTTGCTTCCCAGAGCATCACGTGGCATTTCTTAATGCCAGTGTTCGACCGTTAAACTGATCTTGAGGATGTAGCTCAGTATGGTCTCTGTGCTCCCCAAACCAATACCTCATGAGTGAAATCCAAAAGAACCGATGGGTCGTACTACAAGACTACACCGTATTTGCCTCAACCGCACAGCGCATGTAACATCGTGAACTAGCAAAGGTGGTAAAGCTCTCCATCAAATACTTGATTTCATCTGCATGACAAAATGATCAACAATGCTTCGTTTGCAGCTCGGAGAGGAAGAGGACACTAAAACCAAGCAGAAGGTCATATGGGATGGACACTCGGCCAGGTAAAGCGACCCTCCTTTAGCTTCTTTCCCCCCCTCCCCACCTTCCTGGGGAACAAGGATATGGGCCCTGGCCCAAACTAGACCCCATGCACCCGCCCACCAATCCAACCACCCTTGATAGGAAAGAGCACCCAGTGATACCCACTGTGACGGGTACACGCAAAGGGTGCCCAGCCGTACTCCCCCTTCCACACCTAGTGGGCACCCACCAAGGCGGCCTCGACCTTGAGGAGTCCACACCATCCGTTGTGGAGTCCAAACACCTGTCAAGTGCTAGCTATTTTGGAAGGCCAAGACATTGTAGGGACTCAACAAAAGTCCCTCCTAACCCTGCCCAAAATGTCGGTGATTCACAGTGCAGTGTGCCACCAAGAGGTTGTCATGGAGAGACCTTTTCTCAGTCCATTATGAGATAAAAAGCCAACAAACTCTCGTTCGCTAACCGCGCTGAGCACGGGGAACCTCAATTTTCCCCAATGTTTGTTGAAAATTTGAAATTGCTTAGTGCGAATGGGTATGAGGTTGTCAAAGTGATGGCTTTGTGTGGCGTAGGGAACGACGTCTGCGGCAAACTCTTGGTGGCGCGCTGTATAGTGAATTACCCATATTCTGTAGCAAAGAAATCATCCCCATAACCCAGTGACAGCCCACCACCAGTTTCACCTGACTCTGAACTCCCCCAGAAGTCCCCCTTTGCAGAGTTCAATGAATAATAAGGGAGTTTGTTGTGTCGTGCCCTTAAATGTGCAGCATGGAGGCCACAGCTCGTAAAGCCCAGGCCAACATCACCATAGATGAGCAGATTGCAGCATTGCACAAGGCTCAGGGACTGGTGTAAGTAAACTCTAACCAAATCAGAGAATTGCAGAATAAACTTCAGCTCAGTACTCAACAATACCACTGCCTAAGTACTCAACAATACCACTGCCTCAGTACTCAACAACTGCATTGCCTCAGTACTCAACAACACCATTCCCTCAGTACTCAACAATACCCTTCCCTTGGTACTCAACAACACCATTCCCTCAGTACTCAACAACACCATTCCCTCAGTACTCAACAATACCATTGACTCAGTACTCAACAATATCACTGCCTAAGTACTCAACAACACCATTGTCTCAGTACTCAATACCATTGCCTCAGTACTCAACAACAGCATTATCTCAGTACTCGACACCATTGCCTCAGTACTCAACACCATTGCCTTAGTTCACTATCTTTATCTGAAAAAGTATGAAAGGCTTCACACCCTTGTTGATGAACAGTTTTAATATATGGGTACAAGGCTCAGGTAGCTAAACAACACGTTTGGAGTGTCGCAGAGAAATACCGAGAATGCTTTGCCTTGATGATTCTTTACAATCTGCCTAGAGCAGAAGCACTCCCTCATCGGTTGAAAAGAGGCACGTTGGTCGGGAGTGTTGAATTTGGTGGTAGCGATGCAACAGTCCAACTGCCTACCTAGTATTACCACGTGAAGGGTTTTTTTATTTTCATAGTTTACTTAAAATACCACCACTGGTTGCAGTATACTCCCTTGACTTTCCTGTGGTTGCAGGGCAGAGATCAGAAATTGACTTTGTGAAACAACTCAGGATTCTTGTAATGATGAATTCTCAATTCCTGGGTGGAAATCTTGAAGAAAAAAGCTTTTTTTTTTTGAAGCCAAAACTTTGAAAAAACTGTGAGGTGACTCCTGTGGTACGTACATGCTTGGAATTGCATCCATGTCTTTGAATATGCATATTTATGTATCTGGACGCCAATTCCAATGGTCGCATTTTACATGAATTTTCATTTTTTCCACACCAATTTTTCTTGCTCAAAATGGCCATGTTTTGTCCTTCTCTTTTGTTCCTTTTAGCCCAGACAAGGAAAAGGAGAAGATTGGTCCCCAGCCAGTCACCAAAGCTGCCACGCCCATCCCCCCACCCCCCTCCCCCCCCCAGCCCAAGCCCGCCCCGACGGCAGCCGCCCCCATGCCGGAGCCCAAGGCGGCCCCGCCCATGCCCTTCCCGCCCCGCATGCCCATCCAGCAGCAACAACCGGCGCCCCCGCCCCCGCAGCAGCCACCGGCCGTGGCCATGATGCCCATGCCCCCACGGCCCCCGATGCCCCCACGCATGCCCATGGGTATGCCCAGGATGGGCGGTGGGCTCTTGCCGGGACCCCCACTGCGCTTCATGAACCAAGGTATTAGGAACTTTTCATTTCAAGATCTTTCCCAAGAAAGAGGCATTTGAATACTTTTGCCTTGATCGAGCAGAAGCACCCCCTCATCGGTTGAAAAGAGGCACGTTGGTCAGGAGTGTTCAATTTGTTGGTAGCGATGCGACCGTGATGCATGCCTTTCCTAGACATCTGTGAACCAGCAAAGTTCAGTTCCAACCAAAGGTGCCTCAGTTGCTAAGAAAATAGCACCTTCTCTTGGTCCATAGACAGGGATTTTGAGATCGCCCGAATCCACACACCTCTCTCACTATTCTTCACATTCACCTCAATACTTTAACAAGGCATACATGTACTAAATGCCATACTGAGTAGTTATGCAAAGAACGTGTGTTAGGATCAGATTTTAATGCCATCAACTTTATATTAATCAGCTGTGGATGGTACAGGGCTTGTGTACACCAGAACATGCTGACTTACTCCCTGTGAAGCTGTGACAGAAAATTTTTCCACCTTTACACATCCTTTTGCTTGAACTGGTTAACAGGTAGTTGACATTATTGGCTTTGTGGGTCTACTATGGCCTGCCATGGACAAGCCTCTTTAAATGAGAATTTTTAGCAACTTTTGTGGTGGCTTTCTGAAAGACCTACATGTATACATGTATGTAAAATGGTTCATGGTGTTAATCACTGGGGCTTGTCATTTCCGACCAGGTCCGAGAATGGGTGGTCAGCCCATGCCGATGGGCGGTCAGCACATGGGGGCTATGAGGATGCCCGGAGGGCCGCCCATGCCACCGGGCCCGCCCCCAGGCGTGGATGAACCGCCCACCAAGAAGCAGAAGACGGAGGAGAGCCTTATACCCGAGGATCAGTTCTTGGCCAGAAACAAGGTCAGTGGGTACTTTTTTCAGACAAATTTGCAAAATGTTAGAGGTTTCGTAAGAATACAGAGAAAGTTTGAGATTTCTGTGTGATCGACTTGCGATTGGTCTTTTAATGGGCTTAATGATTTTCCTTGTGATTTTCGTGGCTTGAAACAAATGGACTTGTGGTATGACTTGTAATTTGTCTTCGACGTCTTCCATTCAATGACGCATTTTGGGCTTTGACTGGTGCTGTTTCAGGGTCCGGTCACCTTCAAGGTCATGGTGCCTCCGATGCCGGATAAGCCCGAGTGGAAGTGCAACGGTCAGGCCCTGCAGATGACCCTTCCCCTCACCGACACCATCTCGGTCGTCAAAGCCAAGATCTTCGAGGAGACCAGCATGCCGGCCGGCAAGCAGAAATTGCAGTTCGAGGTAGGTTTCTCCAACTCTGGGCCCCTGACTCTTCTCCACTATATTGTGGCCAGTATTTGGCTTGAAGTGGCACCGTATAACTGTTGTTGAAGTCCGAAACCTGTACAGTTTAACAAGATCCAACAGGTCAACTATTTCAAAGGCCAAACAACATTGGAGTCGCAGCCTGCCAGCCATGACGGTGTCCAAGATATTACAGGAGTGCTCAGAAGTCATCGATATATTCCAAGGAGCCGTCTATGACTGTGGAAATTGGAAAACACAGAGAACAGCTCAGCCAACCTTTTCGATATAAAACATGCTTTCGTTTAAAACCAATCTTTTACAATCCCCAACCTAATACCCTATGCCATGAATCATTCCACGTATCAAAATCAAGGATATATACTACTCAGCATCAATATCTTTTGGGTGTTTTTATGTACAGGGCTTGTTTGTGAAGGATTCCAATTCGTTGGCTTTCTACAACTTCAGCAACGGTTGCACCCTACAGCTTGGCCTCAAGGAGAGAGGAGGTCGCAAGCGCTGAGCACCGGTTGCAGGCATGACAGACGCATTAGTTACCACTGGTTACCAATTAAAACTGGTTTCAACCTTTCTGTACGTGTACCCTTTTAGTGACCTCAGAGACCAGAAGTGGGTAGAACTGAGAGAAAAACATCTGGGCCACGGATGGCTAGCATTTGTTAAAAATTCAAAGATTTTTGAAAACTAGTCATGCCATTCAGGCATACAGGACTTTGATTAGGCCCAAGTTGGTAAAAAAAAAATTGTTTTCCACCAACCTGTTTGTATATTTGACCAAAACTTCTCAAAATTTACCTCCTGTGAGAAATGACCTGGGTAGACAAAGGTACAGCATCTGTGAACCTTAAATTCTGGCTTGTAGGTGTATGAAGAAAGCATTCTTGATGCTACACTTTGTGAAACTAACCGATGAAGATTCAGAAAGTTACTCCAAGAAATAGAGGGATTTCACATCAGCGCTGTCTGCGCATATCTGCATCAAAACCGAGGCTCTCTGTGTTTAACTTTGTCGCCGCGGAGTCGACACAGTACATGGAGTATCCGGTTCGTAAGTGTGACGCCACTTCAGTTTAAACCACGCCCACTGCACAAAATACACGACCACCGCAGGTACGTTAGTTCGCGGTCAATTGTCGTTATTTTTTCTTTTGATTTTACGTGTCGAGTCATCCTGAAAGACTCTTTTCACAAAAATTTGCCGCCTGAAAAGTCTGAATTTAACATACCTTTATGTATTTTGTGTCTTGACTCCTTACTTTCAATGGTCTGATCGTATTAAGAATTGAAGCTGGCACATACAGCCTCATTTTCAAACGCGGAAGTGCGCAGATCGATGCTAAAAGCGTCGTATTGAGATCCCTCTATTATGCTTCGGTTGTACCAGTACCAACATAACACTTGAGTTGAACTTTATGTATTTTCCAAAATCCTGACTTTGTTGACTGCTATGATTTAAACTCAAGTCTAGTTAACTTTTGTGTCCTGTTTATCCTCTTTTGTAGTGAATCCGTGTAAAAATCAGTTAAGATAGCAAGGTTTTGGGGGATATGGAGAGGCATATTGTACATAAACATGCACGCATTTAAGCTTTAGTGGGATTTTTATTCCAAATTACAAACTCCCAATCAACATGATTTTACTTTTTTTTTGGGGGGGGGCGGTTTAGGACTTGATGCCTCAGCCTTGTTAAAGTGTAACAAAAATAATTACCGGTTGGGTAGATTCTTTGCTTTAGTGGTAAGAGGATAAAGGACTTTTCAGGCTCAGGCTGAGCTGTAAGACTTGTGTGACAGGTGTCTTGTACACATAAAGTTTGACAGGCATCATACCACACCAATAAATTTGTCACAGATGAACAAGGTAAGAACATGTCATGCTTTTCTTCTTGATGGAGTTCAGGTTAGACATGTAGATAAGATGTGGAGGGAGGAAAGCAGCCGATCCCCTAAATCAGTAAAAGTGGAGGCATTTTTTGGTGAAAATTGCAGACATTTCGGGGTTTTTTTTCATGTCAGTGTGTCAAAGTGCTTGCTCCCATTTCACTATTACAGCATAATCAAAAAGGAATTTTTTTGGTAAAATTTATTAGTTTGTTTGAATTAAAAGAAAATGTACAATCAAGTTTTAATTTACAAACTTAATATTGAACATGATTTTGGCAAATTCTAGAATTGAGTCCAAATTTCAAGTTACAGATCTGAAAATTTGACAACTGATGCTTCGAATTCCAAACACCCAGTTTCAGTAGGTCAGTTCAATGCAAATCATGGTTAAGTGAATGATTTTGTAATCAGGCAACTTCAAACTCCAGGTTTTTGCGAGAGCAAACTTTGATGGGTGGTAGCACAAACCAGATAATCCCAAATCTGGTTTCAGAATTTCAAGAAAAATATCGGCTTCTCCAGTTTCTGTCTCCAATATCAAGAATTCCACCAGTCTTTCTGGAAGCCAGTCCATACCCACTGTGATTGGTGCAGTCAAATTGAGAACTATTCATAGCAAACATTTAATTGGATAGTTATTTTCTAAATTGAAAGTATTCCCCGCAGAAGTATCTTTTTCTCCCGCCTCTTTTTGGAAGTTCGGCCTCAAAAATCAAAGTCAAAACAAAAACCCAAACAAGGTATTCAAGTCCCATCACCTATTATTCAAAATGTCTGATCAGTGATTGGACCAGACATTGTTTCACTGATGTTTATTCAAAACATCTGGACGTTATGTGCAGAAGGAAGCAGAGGATGTGAACTGTCAGTCTTGAGTCTGAATACAACCTTTTCTGTGAGCTCCGGAGAAAATTGGACCAAGGGTCAATGTGTGTACCAGAACGGGCGGTCACATGCGAGAGCCTCGTCTCAGCTCTGCTTTTCTTGCGAGCTAGATCTTGCTGAGGAGGCCACTTTCCGGAGCGGACGTCTGGATGAGTTTCTGGACCTCCTTGAAGCAGGGATGGTCACTTCCCTTGAGGAGTTGTAGCAGCATGGCCTCGCTGGTGGTGATGAAGGCACCGCTCTGCCGCATCCTCTCAAAGGCATACAGCCTGCAGCGTTAGGAAAACACGGAAGCCCTGCTGTGAATTATCCGGTAGACTACGCTTCCCACCAGGATCAGATTCCATATCACTGTACGCTTGGCTCAGTGCTAAGAGGTCATTACAACAACAATGTAGTTTTTAAAAATACTCTTAGGGCCTTACTCTGAGAATGAAAGAAATATATTGAAACAATCTCCATTTGTTGTACTTTTATTTTCTACTAGTTTTCTTGGGTCAACTTATTTCAATTTCCACAAATTTTGTTGCCCGGTTTCTTGTTTAAAATAGTATTTTCCAGTAGGGATCTTTTAATGCAATTTTGCAGTAATGGCCTTTTATAACTGACATGACCATATACGTATGCACGCCGAGATGTCTCTCATACCGGTGGGGTATAGTTTCCACACTACACATGCCTTTCAATGTACATTTGTGATAATGTATGGCAGGCCTTGATTTAAAAATGGAACCATTACTCGCTCACTGGACTTTTTGTTTTAGCGTTTAACTAAGGGCCGGCGACCATTTAGACCCGGTTTGAAAAGGGCCCCCCCGGTAAGCTCGCCCAGTTGCAAAAACCCCTTTCATACCGGCCTGGCTACCGGCCTGGGATGCTGGACTGGTTGTTGATCTCGAACTTCTTCATCCTGGGGTCTATTGTTTGCAAATACTGGTACATGTAATCTATCCAAGATGGAACCGGCTTGTGGTTTTTAATCCTTCAGCTCTATACAATGTTTACACTAATCCGCTTAGACCCCTATTCATCTGTGCAAGTATGTTGGGGGAAGCCTTTCATCAGGGACTTTGAAATGCCAATGTGCAGACAGGCCTTATACCGGCCTGAAGTAGGCTGAATACTGGGCAGGCATTATACCGGGTGGGCTACCGGGGGGGGGCCCTTTTCAAACCGGGTCTAAATGGTCGCCGTCCCTAACATTGCCTCGCTTTTTTCAAATTCACTATTTCAATCATTATGGTGAAGTCTTCCGATCAATTTCAAAACTTAAAAGAGGATGAATCACAACTGCCACAATTAAGAATACTTGTTCACCGATATAAATCTGAGAAATCACAGTTTCAAACAGGTGGGTATTTCTTTACCAGTCCGCCGGGCAAGTTCAATAGTACATTTTACCAGCCCGCAGCAGTCTGTACCAGAATTTGTATGCTGGTCTAGTGCTAAGGTTGAGGCCTGATGTATGGAAGCCAGTATCTTGTAGCTGCAATCGTTTCGCATAAAGCGAAAACTTTTCAACCTGGGTTGAAAAATCTCAACCCTGGTGCGGAAAAGGCCTGATCTAAATCCTGATCCAGAACAGGGTTGTTCTCAACCCTGGTTTGGAACAGGGCTGATCTCAACCCTGGTCAGGAACAGGGCTGATCTCAACCCTGGTCTGGAACAGGGCTGATCTAAATCCTGATCCGGAACAGGGTTGATCTCAACCCTGGTCAGGAACAGGGCTGACCTCAACCCTGGTCCGGAACAGGGCTGATCTCAATCCTCGTCCTGAACAGGGCAGAGATTTTTCAACCCAGGCTGAAGTCAATCTCGGGGTTGGCACGTCAAGTGTGAATTGTCAGTTTTCAATCCTGCGTCAGCCCCAAGATTTGTCTCCCGTGAAAAGGTCCAAAGGTGAAAAGGTCCAAATTAGACCAATTGACAGCAGGCCTATCCCCTCACCTGTCTACCATGCTCCTTGAGGAGCAAGCGTCGGCGATCACATGGACGTCCAGGCCCCTCTCCAGCAGGTCAAGGGTTGTCTGCTGGATGCATGCCTGGGTCTCGATACCGCAGAGGATGACTGAGCTGGTGCCCGCCTCGGTCAGCTTGTGTTCCACCTCCGGGGTGCACATGGTGAAGCAGGTCTTGGCGATGATGTCGTGGGTGTCACGGTCGATGCCAATCTCCGAAACAGTCGGGCCAAGGCCTGTGAAGTGATGTAACCAAAATTATGCAGTTTCCATACGTGTAAAGCTACAGACTTTATGACGATACTTTTTTTCACATTTACTTATTCTTCCTGTAACAAGATGTACGGTAGATACTGCATGTTGCAAGTATCAGGCTTTAGGTGTTACATTTGATCACTTTGGACAAAACTTTGATTTGATTTATTTGCCTTTCCACCCACAATTAAATAATGATAGAAAGAATAAATGTATGCATTAATACGTAGATAACAATAAAAAAATAAGTAGACGTAAGAATTAAGATATCAGGACCAGGGCCTATGGCTACATCATACAAAACAAACACACTCATGGAAAGACCAGGGATGATGCAAAAAAGTTGTAAAACATGTATTATTTCCATTGTCTAATTGCATTTGGATCTGTTCGTAGTGAGAATCTTCGAAGTTATCTGGGACTAGCAGACAGAGGAGAACACGTAGAACGACATGCGTACGTCATACTCAGAAAGTATGTATTTTCTGCGTCCTGAGCATTGCCTAATAATATGCTTAAGACACACGTTCTACGTGTTCTTTTCCGTCCGCCATGTCTCAGTACCATCTGTGCCTATACATTAACAGTGTACTCTTCACACCACGTTGTGCGCTGCTTAAGTTACACAATGCTGGCCTAAATCTGTTTAGCGCTAGCATGGTGCAGCCTGGTTTGTTTACCTTTCGGATATTGCTCGGTCGTGACTATCAGCGGAAGTTTCATGATTTTAGCTGCTTTAAACATCCTCGATGCCACCTCCACGATCTGAGGGAAGTATCGGATCGTGGGACGGAACTTTTCCTGCATGTCACACAGGAAAAGCGCCGAGTTCTGGATCAAAATTTGTCCGATTCGCCGCGACGACATCGTGTCCCATAAGCTGAATCGTCAACTGACACTTGTACGTACCATGCCACGCCGGCCTGGCTGCCCAGGCAGCTGTATGAGAAGCGCCCTCAAGAGGAGGCAAGGCAAGTAAGAAAGTTTGCGACAGCGCTGCGTTTGTGTTACACACGAGCTATATATGACCGTACTCACTGTTAATGTTAGCTGAGCATGGAGCGCGTATTGGGCGAACTTCAGGAACTTGTGATTGCTGCAGTACGGTGCATCATCATATCATAGGCCTAGCTGCTTAGCGAGACACAGAAAGTAGGTTGGCTAGTCTTTTTCTCTTTTTCTGTAGTTGGGAGCTATTTGCCAGTTTGTAAGGTTTTTTTTTCTAAATCATGCAAATGTTGTTGGGGTTGTTGGAAGACGGGGATTCCCATACTTTCATGTCTATACCTCTGGGGCTTAATAAGTTTGCTGATAATGCTGTGAATGGTGGGTGGGTCGTGATTGCAAGCTGTACATTTCTTCAATAATGGGGGATTGTATAGATCATGTAGGTAGGCCCGAGGCAGTATGTATGTGGCAAACTTTATTGAACAGCCTTATTGATTTTGTACTCGGCTTCGTTTTCATTTTTTTTCGCCAGTCTGATTTTAGCGCTCCAGCATGGTTGTGTTGGTATTTCCTCATGTCCATAAATAACTGAAATTACAGAGAACCCCCTTTTCTATGACGTTCTCTATGTATGTGAAATACACAAGGTTTGATTACAGTTACAGGTCATTGAAGTCGGCCATTTTATTTTGTCGTGAAAATATTCGTGAAAAACCAGTTGAAATTCACTCTTCTCAACCAGGTCAAAAATCGCATCAGAACGGTCGTTAAAACCATGGATGATTTTATCTTTTTTTCTTCTATTGTATGATTGTTTGATTATTTTGTAGTTGATTAGTGAAATTTGACAGGATTTTATCGAGGAGCACGTGGCTTTTTTTGGCCTGCAAGATATGTATGTGATCTCAGTCTTATGTCTACGTTGTACGATTTTCAGAATGATTTTCCTGCAATTATGGCAATGAAATCATCATTTTTATTACTTCTGATTAAATTGAATAAATTTTCTAAAGTGTTGGATGTTTTTTTTATTGGAAATGACAGTTTCAACTACGATGTTTGAAGATGAAAAAAATTGTATCATCATGGACATACCCAACGAGAGTGGCGATTGGCCAGAGCGCAAAGTGTTAGGCTTAGCGCAGTAGCTTTTGACATGTTTGAAAAATGTGACCTGTCACCACAAAATGAGCTAAAAGTTGAAATTTTCAAAAATTGAGATATTGGTATTTTTGAATTCAGCAGAAAAAGAGCTTTCCAGTGGCATGTACATGGAACACTTAGGATAAAGTATCAGATGACAATGTGACGTTATTCTGGCAGCTTTGCGCCTTTGGCTCTGGCATATTTTCACTATTTTAGACCAGACACAAATAATGCTATTGTCAAAACTGCTGAGAAATTACAGTTTTAAATATATGATCCTCTGAAATATTTGGAATTAAATAGGAGACGGGTTACTCTTTCCAAATATTACAAACCTCCAAATTTACCTCCACTTCAATATGACCCTGAACCCTCAAAACAGGAGAGAGCAGGATGCAGCTTTACTCTCATTTTATCATAACAGGTCACAAATGTCCCAATGTTGTGCACCCATTTTTGACTTTTCGGTCCACTTTTGGAACTGATCTCAGTGAGATCATCAATTTGATTATTATGTGTCTACTGTTTGTGTATAAATGTGGTCTTTTGTATTATTCCAGACTCCCTCCATGATGAAGGCCATGCACATGAGACTGCTCAAGGTCGCAACCTGCTGCCTTTTGATTGGCTGCGTGGTCATCGTGGTGTTTGTTCACGGTTCGGAGAAGACCCACCCACCTGTTGTGAGTGTCGTGATCGTCGGCGGCACTGGAGACTTGGCAACGAGATATCTGTGGCAGGGGTTCTTCAGTCTCTACCAAGGCCAGTGTACATCAAACATGTCAGGGAAAGGGTGGATCAGGGGGGGTGGTGGGGCAAGGAGAAGAGAAGGGGGCCCTGAAAGCATTAATTGGGCATGAGGCCTGAAGACGTGAATTCAATCCAAAACTGATGCGAGGGTAGAGGTGAACCATGTCATTGCCAAATTTAAAAAATCTGTTCTTACGTTTAGGTCAAAAGAATGACTACTCGTTCAACTTCTATGGGGCAGCTAGAATGCCAGCGTCGGAAGGGGACAGCCAGGTAGCAAACATCCTGCAACGTAACGTCTCGTGCGCCAAATCTGTCCAGCCTGGCCCGGGATGCGAGACACTACTTGACGCTTACAGAGCCAAGGTCTTCTACAGGTAGAGTGGACCATATCTGGATGACTGGATCGTCCTCCTACCAAATGAAACTCAAGGCCATTTTTCTGAAATGTTTGGGAAGTTTGTATTAAAAAGAGCTAGCCAAGCTTTTTGTTTTTTGGATTAATCACATCATCAAGTCAAACTTTATTACTCCATAAAAAGGAAATTGCATCGCTCACCGGCTTACAACAATTAGACATCACAAAGACGAGACATAACAAAAACACAAGACAAAACAATTTTACATTAAACATTAAATCCAAGACCTCAATACGATAACAATAATAGTAAGAGTTACATTTTAATCATGTAAGTAAAAGAAATCGATAACAACTAAAAATATGTATGCTTATAACTTAAAGGGGGCCTAATTACAGGTCATTAAAAAACTCAGTCTGGGGCCAATTTCATAGAGCTGCTTAACCACAGAATTTGCTGAAGCATGCAAAAACCTTACGTTTTTAAAGGATAAAAGCTTAAACTCTATGTGATTGTCGTGCTTACCAAAAGACAGGTACATGTAAACTCCATTGTAAAACAATATACGTTACAAGAAGGTTTGGTTTGTAACCTAATTTGTCAAGGTTGTCACTATGAAATTGGCCCGTCATCCTGATAAAAATGTACACGAGTTGACAAATGTTGAGGGTACCCGATTATACACTGTGCATGATTCCTTTGAAGGCCCTGAACTCAAAGTTGCTCTGGCAACTTGCAACTCCTTTTTCGGGTTGGGTTTATACAAAATAAGTAAATCAGTTGTCTCGCTCGCTCGTCACGCCATCTTGTATTGGCATTGCTGCAGGAAGCTGAAAACGGCCCAAGATTATGCCGAATTTTGTCGGGAGATGAAACCGGAAGGAGCCAAGGAGCACGGGAGGTTGTTCTACCTGTCCGTGCCGCCGTTTGCGTACGCTGGCATTGCCAAGAATATCGCCCAAGGTGAGGCAACAACTGCACGTCAGAATTGAGCCGAGGAATCGGATGCATTGTTCTGATTTTGTTTACCCCAAATGTGAGTCAAAGGTTTGCCTTGAACTGTCCAGATTCAGTCCCGCAAAATCTTCCACAAACAAAGCAGTGTCACATATATACATCTCAACTCTCAGAGGACTTCCAGCCAGTCCTATTAAAAAATATCAAGGGCTGGATGTCACCTATGGAAACATAAAGACCTGGTAATAGGACAAATGATCCTTGATGATCTTTTTCCCCCTGATCTTCGATCTTAGGGTGTCGGCCGGAAGGAGACACCTGGCTCCGCGTCGTCCTGGAAAAGCCATTTGGCCACGACTACGGCTCCGCCCAGGAACTGGCTGCACAGCTGGCAGAACATCTCAGAGAAGAAGAGATCTATCGTATCGATCACTACCTCGGCAAAATAGGTAGGACAAGTCTGACGTAGAGAATTATGGTAAAGGTTTCAGTGTTTTATTTAATGCATTTTTTGAAAGTAAACGTACCGTGTTATGATCTGAGTTTGTTTGCAATATTTATGGGGTTCTTTTCATTATTTATAATTATTTTATGTGAACCATTTCATCGTAAGTTTGACTTCTCCAATTTTCAAGTGGAACCTGTCTGATAGTAATAAGGAGAGAGCTTTATATATTACCATAATGCAAAGATACGCATACATTCCATTCACAAATGTGTAACGGCAGTAGCTGCAATTAGGCCATCTGTTAAATTGCATTCTAAATGACGTCTTATTTTCTCCGTGCCTGAAGTAAGGATAAGTAGGAGGTGATCAACACTTTGGATACAGGTTCCTGGCAGTTAAACTGTTGCAAAATTGTTGGTGTGTTTTAAGATTTCAGTAGATATCGTTATGGTATACACCTGTGCACATCTGTGCCTTTGGTGACCTCCAATCCTCTTATTTATCTCAGTTTACATCTAGATAATTTGTTGACACTACTTTAGTTACAAAGCACTCTTTAAATAATTTCTTAGCTGCATGTATATTTTTAAAGTGAACTTTCGTCGACATGTATGCTGTTGACATGAAACCCAGGGTAGGTGAAATTGCGATATGTAGAGTACAAGGGATTGAAATAGGACTGAAAAGTGTTTGACCTACATGTACATTCACCATCTGGCCTGCATTTGGTAATCTTCTGTGTGCAAAGTGGAAGGTCTTGTTCTGACGTACACGGGGGATTAGTATATGTTCAGTGTCTGACCGTTATCTCACCCTCATAGTACAAGCCTGTCTATTTCTATAGCAGGGAAGATTAGACAGGGCGAGCTTTATGAGGTACGCTTCAGTGCAGCTGTGATAAGCTGATCAGGATAAGGGTCAGCAACTAGTAGCAATCAGACCTCTACTCCTTCACTACTGTCCACGTTTCATCACACACCTGCTGTAGCTGAACCTGAAACATTGGTGGGTTGGGTGGGTACCAATGTCCCCCTCCAAAAAAAAGGCAAAAAGAATTTTCATAAAAGGTGATTTAGTGCTCTGTAAATTTCATTCTCCTTCCTTCTGAAGGTGTGGAAAAATCAAGTTTAGTCTGTAAGTCGCTCCCAACATCCACAAACTAATAAATAAAAAATAAATAAGGGACAAGAAAAAAACTAAGCATACATGTACATGAAACTTTGCTTCGAAACAGCGCCTCGTGACTCCTTCTGTCCCAGCACGCGCAATATTTCAACCTTGCAGGAGAAAAATTCTAATGAATGTAAAAAAACAACGCACCACTGCGGTAAAGGGACTTGGGCTCCTAAGCATCGCTTCGAAGTTATTAATTTCAGCTGCAAAAAGTCCAAAACTTCACCTTCAGATCTCTCAAGGAATTGAAACTTCAGGAATACTTTTAACCCTTGTGGCAAGGAAACTTTTGCACTTTGTCAGCCGTTGATAGTTTTCTCTTTACATTTGCAGGAGTCCAGAGCATCCTTCCATTCCGAGCACTGAATGACAAAAAATACAAGGACTTGTGGAACCGAGAGCACATTGAGAGGGTTGAGGTCGTCATGAAGGAAAAGATTGACACCAAAGGTAGAAGATTTCAAATTCGGTCTGGTTTTAAAGGTACAACCCGTTACCGTGTCATTTGTGCATTACGTTCGTTAGAGGCATCAAAAGTGCTCATGTCTAGAGAAGGGTGTTTTCCAACTTATCTTAGGAAGTTTGAGCTCTGAGAATGCTGTAAAATCATCAAAGTAAAACAAACATGTTTCTCTCTAAAAATGCATCTTAAGATACATCTTTGGAAATGGCCTTCTTTCAAGGCTTTCTTCAACAAGACAGCTTGCCTGAAAGAATTATTGCCCAGATATCTTGAAACCAATAATTCAACAATTTCAACAATAATTTTGTCATTTTAATACGCTGTTGATGGCGGCAAATGATGGGCTGTACCTTTGAGCGGAGGACCAGTACATGTAATGACATACAATGTATTACTATTCCCCTTAAAAGGATGTGCTCTACTTTTGAAGTATTCATATCTAAAAGTCAATTTATCACATGTCATTTGACAATTTGTTTTACATCATTGGCAGGTCGACTTGAATTCTACAATGAGTACGGAGTCATCAGAGACGTCATGCAGAACCACCTGACCGAAATATTTACCCTGGTTGCCATGGAGGTACCGACCAACATCAGCAGCCGTAGCAAGTTTCTCGGCAACAAAATTCACCTGCTGAGCCAGACCCAGCCTGTCAAGCTGGAACAGGCTGTGATTGGTCAATATGATGGCTACACTGATCAGTGGCGTCAGGAGCTTGGCAAAGGTGCGTCTGAAGAGACGCTAGTGCCAACCTTTGCTGCTGTGGCGTTCTATGTGGAGAATCCACGGTGGAAGGGTGTCCCCTTCGTCCTCCTCGCTGGTAAGAAACTAGACGAGCGAATCGGATACGTAAGAGTGGTCTTCAAAGATAACGCTGTCTGCGTGAGCAAAGCTGGTAGCAGTGGTGCAGCCAACCGATGTGCCAAGCATCAACAGGTGGTCTTCTACACTGGCAACCCCGGGCTGAAATATCCCACAATCCTCGTTTCTAAGCACCTTCCCAAGCCGACCGTCCCTGAATCATGGTCGGTGCCCGATGCCAATCCGAACACTGAAATCTTTGGCTCCAACCTGTCGGACTTCCATTACTTCTCGCCGCCCAAGGACCAGGATGCATACACGGCCCTGATTGCATCCTGTTTCCACGGCGACCAGAAGATGTTTGTCGGCACAGATGACCTAATGGCATCTTGGAAGATTTGGACTCCATTGCTGAAGAGCCTGGAGAACCAGAGGCCCAGAATCTACTCTGGTGGGGAAGACACAGGGACTTGGCTGGACTTTAGAGTCAAAGGTAAAACTGTCAAGTTTCTTCACAAGCTTGATGACCCATTGCAATATCAGGAACCCGGGCCTGCATTCCGGTCCATATCCAATCGCTTTCGTTCCCGGCCCCTCGTCACGGGCAAAGAGGAAAGTGTTGTGGCCCAGCTTGCGCAGCACTTGTTGAGCATCGCAGCCGATTCCATTCAAAAGCGGGGGAGTTTCCATGTTGCCTTTCCCGGAGGGTCAACCCCTAAGAATCTCTTTGCCCAACTAGCCAAATCGTCCAATCACTTCCCATGGGAAGACACTCACATCTGGATGGTGGACGAGAGATGTGTGCCATTCACCGATGACTATTCCAATTTCAAGCAACTTCACGACAGTCTGATCCAGTTCGTTAGCATCCCATATCTGAACATCAACCCAATGCCCGTCAAATTGGCCAATGGTTTCTGTGCTACCACAGACAAAGGGGCTGACACTTACGAAGACGATTTGATGCACCTCCCAGACGGGAGGTTAGATTACATCCTCCTTGGTGTTGGAGCCGACGGCCACGTTGCCTCGCTATTTCCCAACCACCCCACGGTGGGAGAGAAGTCTGCCAAGGTGGTACTTTCTGATGGGGGGCCCAGGAACAACGTACCCAACAGAATGACCCTGACATTGCCGACCGTCAACAGGGCCAGGCATGTGGGGATTCTGATCTTAGGGAAGGGAAAGAGGGACATAGTGTCAGTACTGAAGACAGAAGGGGTGAGGGACCCCCTCAGGTATCCTGTGACAGGGGTGGATCTAGATGATGGGGAACAGGTTTGGTATATAGACCATGAAGCCTTGGTTTAAAATCTCTGAGAAGTAGCTCAAAAAGTGGAACTTCCATTGAGCAAACCTCACGTCAGCTGTTGGGTGGGGGGCAGTTTCCCTCCATTCTGCAGCAAAAGGATCTCACAAAGATTTATCGCTGTGCATCTTGAAGTTCTGTCTATAGCATCATGAAGAGCTGCTGTTTGTTGATGCATCTGATAGCTAGAGTCTGTCTTTCATTTTAGTATCATGGACAAATTGTCACTCTGATGATCACACTTACTCTGCACCGAGATTTGGAGCAGTAATGATCGACGGATTCTCAAGCAAATCGAACGTTTATCATTTTGGAGTTTTCCTCCAAACCATTGACCGTTGGAATGGTTGACCCTACTGGCTGGTTTAAAAAAGATAAACCACCTACACTCAAGAAAGAATAATGACAGTCCTAATCCTCACGTACACAGAAAAATTGTTGCGGTTCTATTTGTATGAAGAGTACACGCTGCATTCAGATACGCTACAATGGACATTTTTTGTAAGGAATCCTGCTGTCTTGTGTAATTTGTCTCTTGCCGGCTTCTTTAATTAATTTGTAAATTGGTACTGGAAGCAAAATGCATTATAAAGAAACTGAAAGTGGCAATTTACTTCATGAAATATGTGTATAATTGGAATAAGGAAATGGCATCGATTCTTGCATGGCTGATATTGCACTGTGGGCCAATATTTGAAGAAAGGTTTGAATTTGTAAGAAATTGACTTTACTTGTTAAACAGGTGAAAAGACATACCTTCAGATTTTATATGAGATGCTAAGCCACTGGTGTTTAAAAGCAAGAGTGAAATGCTCCAACATTATGATCTGTGATGAAATTCTTTTTATTCAGTAATCTGACGTATAAGCTCTTGAAACTAATCAATTGTGTTTTAAGACAATGCAACAAGTCATAACGGATTCGTTTAACTTTAGCCGTGTTTGTACACAGAAGCAAATGGCTCAACAAAAACAATACAATAAATAAATTTAATCCACAGAAACAACGGCGACAATATTCAGTAATCTGACGTATAAGCTCTTGAAACTAATCAATTGTATCTTAAGGCAATGCAACAAGTCATAACTGATTCATTTAACTTTAGCCGTGTTTGTACACAGAAGCAAATGGCTCAACAAAAACATTACAATAAATTTAATCCACAGAAAAATTATCCGGCGACAAGAATTACGTGTACTAAGGAGCCAAATGCTCTTTCAAAAACAACTTATGTTTCTCTAGATGATTTATCCTGGATCAGATCCAGGATGCCAACAAGGGTCATTCCCCCCCCCCAAAAAAAAAGGGAAAAAGGCAGTTTTGGTCTATTTGATTTCCTTTCCAAAAGCACTCCAAAAGCCTTAGAATGTTGCTTCAGCCCTCAGAAAGGCCATAAAGGTTACTTGAGAAAATTTCCAAATTTTTGGGTCCCCTTGAAATCTTGGCTCTGAATTTGCCTTTTTCTCACTTAGAATAAACTTAGGAGCTCACCAAATGCAACAGGCTATCTTTGAACCTTGTATTTTATTCGATATAATTCCAATAAAGATTATGCGAGAAATCCAGGAGCTTTTTTACATTTTAATTTTTTAAGCAGAATTCATTGAAGATGGCAGAATAAGTACTGAATGATAACTCGAACAGTACATGCAAAAACAAACTAAAGTGGCACGTTTTCACTGTCAAAGTACGGTTTGCAATAGAGGTTTTGCTGGGTTGCCATCTAGCACGGCAGTTTTTTCGTTCTACAGGAAACCTCCTTTGTGTATATCCTGCATTACAAAAGCACTGGCCTGCAAGATGGCGGGCATGCAAACCCTTTACACATTAAATGGAAATTAAACCCCTTCACGTTTCTGATGTCTTGTGCTGCCTTGATCAAAGTTTAGAATTTAAAAGCAAAATTATCCTCAAAAAACGAAAAAACAAAACAATGTCAAAATAATTTGATTGAAGTAATGTTCGCCACCTAACAAATCAACCCTATCCCCGGGTGTATTTGCCAAAGGATTATTTTTTTAAAAATGAGCTCACTAGAGATACACTACTATAGTAACATTTGGCCTCACATGTATAAAAATTCATTGCACTTGGTCAATGTGTACCTGCACATATCAGACATACGCCCAAACAATGCATGCACACACTTCGAACACTGGGCGAGATTGACAAGAGGTTTTCCAAACCTTCACTTTGTGGCTTGGATTTCTTCAATTTTCGGTTTTTTAATCCACAATGCACTTGTCCAACGCACAGTACTATTTTCGGCCATAAATGTTGACTTTTGAAACAAACGAGATAACAACCATGGTCCGCTGCAAAGTTGGACTTCACAAATGTTGACCCTTGATTATGGTGTTGATCGATCATTGCTCTTTGAAGTTCTCAGATAAATGCTGAAAAGTAATATTTGTTACAATTCCCAACTGTGGCCCACAGCTGCTTGAGGGCATCACACTCTACCAGCCCTGTGTGCACAAACTCAATTGGGAATCACTCAAGCACTAGTAATCAGGAGGTCGTGGGTTCGAGTCCCACCCTCGTAAGTTGTGAATTTTCTTGCAAGCTCTTGGAAGAACACCGAGTATCCAGTGTTATATATATATATACATCAGTGCATGGCAAAACCTGTCACTAAAAACTCACGATTTGGTTTGACAAAGCCTGTTAAGTTCTGGCCATTTCAGATCTCAGTAGTGAGTGACATGCACACACATACTGCCACACTTCATTGGCTCCCACAACTGCTCCATACAAACTAGCTGTACCACGGCTGGTAGCCAGTACCTGGTACACAGACTCGACCATGGGGCCACAGAGAGAAAGTCAGGTTTAGAAAAAGTGGAAGACAAGCTCGTAATCAACATTTGCTTTGATCTAGATGCCTCTTGAGAGTTCAACAGGTGTTCCAAGGGCCCAGCTCCCTACAGGTCCGGGCAGAGACATTCCTCTGCGATGTGTACAGTTATCGCAGCTTCCAAAAGACAGGTGTACAAAAAGTCACATTAAATGAAATCATTAAATGTACATGTACGTCAAGTCGGAACTCACTACATGTACATGTAGGCACACCATCAAGAGACTGAGGTAACCCATGTAGTTTTCGAATATGGTGGCTTTGGAATTCTCAAGGGTTCAACTAAAAGTAATTAAGCTTTCCAGCTCCATATTTATTGTGGTTATTTGAGAGTGGACATAACATCCTACTCACATACCAGCTCCATATTTATTGTGGTTTTTGAGAGTGGACATAAGGTCCTACTCGGCCTAAGACATATCAGCTCCATATTTATTGTGGTTTTTGAGAGTGGACATAAGGTCCTACTCGGCCTAAGACATACCAGCTCCATATTTATTGTGGTTTTTGAGAGTGGACATAAGGTCCTACTCGGCCTAAGACATACCAGCTCCATATTTTTTGTGGTTTTTTTGAGAGTGGACGTAACGTCCTACTCACATACCAGCTCCATATTTAATGTTTTTTTTAGAGTGGGCATGGATCCTACTTGGCCTAAGACATAACAGCTCCATATTTATTGTGGTTTTCCAAGTAGTTCTGAAATGTTCCAGATAGAAACAGTAAAACATGTCAATAGATCATGAGATGTACACATAATCATGTTTTTCTAACTCAAGCACCACATCTTAAGCTTGGGCTTCCAGCATCAGGCTGCTGATTTTTCAACCCCACTATTTCAAAATGGCTTCTCCATCCAGGAAAACCTCAATAATTCTGCGATATCCAAGGTCCAGTTTCTGCCAAGAGGCACATTTTATCCAACCCCAAAAGGGTCGAGAAAAGTTTTAAGGTCTCATTTGGTTCAAGTAGTCAAAGCTTCGAATTAATTCGGAAGCAGATAAAGCAAGAGCTCAAGATGAATCCCTTATCTGAGACATAGCTGAAATGTGTCTTTAAGGCGTGTGTCCAAAATCAAGGCTGTGGCTAGAAACAATGTGTGTCTATGGATGCTACTGGGACATGGCTACTCCAATGCCCATAGACAAGTGCATTACTCCAAGCCATAGCCGGTTGGTTCAGATACAGTCTGTCTGATCCAAAGACCTTAATCATGATGCTGCCATGTTTGTCTTGTACCCTGTACACCCTTTAACAAAAGTAATACATCTTTGCATGTTGATAAAGGGAACAGACTATTTTTTCCAGCCTCAGTTTGGTTACATTGCTTTGAACGGTAGAAAAGCAAGATGGCTGCCCCATGACAGAGGTCTACAGACTTGGAGAAAACAGGTGCCCGACTTTTCTTGCGACAGTCCCTCGATGCATTAGAATACAGAATTAAACAGATGTTCAAGGTAGCCTTGCACCAGAAGCAGCATTTAAAGCACAGCTGGCTTGTCAATTTGGTGGCGCCCACACCAAGTCTTGCGCACGGCCAGGTGCACTAGTCTTCAAAGTACATGCGGCCAACACCATTCTTCTTCATGTATCGCCGGTAGCTCTTGTGCCGGCTGCTTTCTGCCAGTTTGGCCTTCATCTCCTCTTCCTTCTCCTGCTTGTACTCCTGCGGAGAGAAAATGAGGCGTATAATGACTCAAGGCCCAAACAGACCCCTGTACTGATGACGTCACACTTTGCGTGTGCTTCCCTATGTTGCTCAGTAGACGGTGCGCTCCAACTGGCTCCACAGGAAAGGGAACATTGTAAACAAAGTGTGATGTCATCAGTGCGTCCGCCTATTCGCCCTGAGCGGGATCAAAAGAGTTGGCAATGATGGCCTCTTTGGTGGGAACTGCACTTTGCCGGTTAACAATTCTGGCTTAATCAATGCATGTTTTACCAAAGGACGTACATAGACTTGCTTTTGATTCCTTTATCAAGTGCCTCTGTTTATGGACATCCATGTGACGGAAGCCAGCCTTTGAGACGGGATATTACGTAGGCGGTGTTTGAAACAGGCTTTTTATCAAGGCCTCTTGTCAGTGCGTCTCCACATTATTTGCCAGAGAGCGAAGACCAACACCCAGCCCTGACAATAGATTCGGATGCAGCCATCGAACACTCCCCACCAGTTTGGCTCTTTTCAGCCGATGAGGGGTGTGCTTCAGCTACAGGGTAATTGCGCAGTGATGCTAAAGCAGTCTGTACTGGTAAGTAAAGCAAAGCTAAAATAAGAACTGAGAACCCTTTGCAAGGAATGCATACAGTGTGTGAGACTTTGGCCAAGTACCTTTTTTTCCTGCTAAGTAAATATTTTCTGCTCTTAGTGAAACTGGGCAAAGGTCGCCGCGTTTGGACGAGAGGACCCATTTTCTGCGCAGAAAGCCAATGGCACGTTCTTCAGACACACTTCATTTCTTTACAGCCATTATGTGCTCACTACTAAAGTAACAGGTTGCTATATTTATCATGTTCAGGGTTTCTGAATGATACAATTTCTTCATGGAGATCTTCGTAAAAATATACATATATATCTGAATGTATCTGTTTTCTTTTGTGTCATCATTTTTAACTCTGTGAAAGACTTACTATCGAGCAGATCTGGTTGAAACTCTCACCTTGAAATTTTCATATATCCACAATTCCTTGGCTAGCATTTCTTTCTTTTCAAATTCATCCAATGCCTGGGAAGAAAAAAAAATCACAAATTATCAAGTGTATCCAAGTAAATGGTGGAATTTGTCCGGTATGGTGAACACAATTCCTCTGTAAAACGAACGGTTGAGGACGGAACCATTTAAAACAGCAACAAGTGAATCAAAATTACATGTGCATCATGTCTGAGTCAGATCTAGTGCTGTAGTTGACTACAGTTCAAGGGAGCTGAGTTCGAGTGAGTACAAATGTGAGTAATACTGTACTGAGTACGCCTACCTCAAACTGTGTTTGGCTCAGGCCCAGGAATTTCCGAATAATGTGGTATTTTTCTTCCAGTCCATACTCCTTGCCCAGGATGTTGAATTTCCAGATCCATCCGACGTACCAGATGATGTAATGGATAATGTAATAAGGTGACAACAACAGCTGCAGCCACAGCACATCCAGTATCCTGGGCTTCCTGTAGCCACCCCTGGCAAAGGAATGGCCAAAAACACCACTTCAGTGAATTTTGTTATCAATACTTAAATGGTTATGAGGCAACACTTTCCTATGCCCTGGGCCCATTTTAACGAAGATTCTGCATGCAAAAATCTGCTGAACGGCAAAAATTATTTTCCTTGCAAAAATGGCTTACTGGTTGCCATGTATTGTACATTTGCCTGCAAATGGTAGTCAGCAAAATTTTGCTGAAGATATAAATCTAACCCCTAGGGCGTCAGCAAAATCATTTTGAAATGGGAGGATTCAGGATTGTAGGGTTAAGCAATACTCCAGATTATGCCAGTCTATGAAATCTGCCACCCACATTTTCTCCGATGATGTCACAATGCTGATTTTGGACTGAGCCTTGAGGATTTTTTTTCCCAA